AAGGGGCTCTGCCTGGGCCAACAGAAAAAAACTTGAACCCCTTTTTGGCAAGCTGCTTCCCCCCATCCTTCTCAACAAAGGGTGAATAAGGTGGCAGCTGAATAGGGTTGCAGCCCTCTTTTCAAAATCCTCAATCTCATGGTCTCCTGGTACCATCACAAAACTAGGACAAGTGACAAATCAAAGAACCTAGAAAAGTTAAACCAAAACCAAGTAGCCATTTTCTTGAGGGATGAAACTGAAATATAATTGACACCGTTCAGAACTGCTTGACAGGGCTTTGCGCACTGACAAGATGTTAATTCCTGGTCTTATTGTGATACATATGCCAATACTGAGGGACCATGCAGCTATAAAAACTTGCTCCAAGCATAACTATGATTTATTACTGCAGACTGATGTACCCCTCACCCATAAGTCCTAATGGGTGCCTGTAGATGTGTAGGGATGCTGCTCCAACATGCTGCAATTACAGCACATTGGAGAAGACAATTAATCAAGTCTGCTGGAATGTACTAATTGGCATGCTCCAGCAGCCTCCATGCCTCATGTATTCAGTGTCCCTGCATTTCAAAATGGTGTCGAACGAGCTTTAAGTTAAAGGACCCCCATCACCATTTTGAAGCGTAGGATGCTGAATGCACAAGGCACTGCAGGTGCTTGAATTAGAGCAGTTCTGGTGCTCCCCACCCCCAGTGCATGTGTAAAGATGCAATGTATCTCCACAATTTCTGGAACTCTTGCAGGCTTCCGTATGGTTACTCTGAGCCATGATCTCTAACTCTAGTTCATGTTGCTATCATTTCCATCTACTATACTTCAAATATAAATGCTGTTCAAACCCAATTAGACCTTTTGTTCTTTAAACTCAGATTTTTTTTTTAAGTTTTGAAACCTTCAGCTGACCTCCCACAAAACAAGGAATACCGTATTTCCTCAAATCCAAGGTCACCTCAAATTTAAGATGACCCCCCGCCCCAGTAATTAGATTCTATACATATGAAAACTATTCATTTCTTATAACCTTCCATGCATAGAATCTAATTATTAGAGAGTCATCTTAAATTCATGGCCCCCACTGCTGCAGTGATGAAAGCAGCAGTAGCAGCAGGGGGGCAAGAGGCATGATTCCCACCATTCTGCTCCCCAACTCATGCCCCACCACTTGCCCCTGCCCAGCATCTAGCTCCTCAACACCTACCTCTGCCCCTTCTGTCTGGCCCTTCCCCCAAACAATGCTTATGAAACAGTTCTGGCCAAAGCCAGCCCTTGAGGGGCGAATCAGGGTGATTGCCCCAGGCCCCACGCTTTGGGAGTCTCTGTGGATAGTGCTGTACAGACCCCACCAGCCGCTGCTAATCACATGCCCTCCCCTGGCTGCTCACCACCCTCCCCTTGGCCACTGGCCACTCACCACCCCTCCCAGCACAGGCCCCGCACAGCCCAATATGCCCTGGGCCCCGCACACCCCTAGGGTTGGCTCTGGCTCTAGCCCAGAGCACATGGTGGCTCCACATCCAGACCCAGCCAGTCAGTGGTAGTGGCAGCAACTCTGACCCTAGCCTTGTTCCCAGTCCAACCCCTGATCATAGCCCCAGTCCTGGGCTGGGGCCAGAGAGCCACAGCAGCTCCCCTGCCACTTCAGTCTCCCTCATGCTCCACCCCTCCAACACCATGCAGTCTCCCCTGCAATACCCCCATGCTTCTCTCCCTGCACCATATGGTCTCCTTTCTGCTTCCCCCACTTTGCACCCCCTCCCCTGACACACGAGCCAGCTCTAGCCCCCCCGCAACTCCAGCCATGCAGCAGCATTAGCCCCAGCCCAGGGTAGGCAGTGGCTGCAGCTCTGGTGTCAAGTCAGTACTTGAATCCAAGATTCAGCTTTTTTTCCTTTCTGTCAAATGGGGAAAAGAAACTTATCATGGGATTTGAATAAATAAGATATATCCAGTGTAAACAGTTAATATTTCAATAATTTACATAAAATAAACTTATTGAAATATAAAATATAACTTAGTTTTATACCAAATATAGAATGAAAACACTCTCTCACACTTTTTTTTTTTATCTGTAAAAGCAATTTTGTGGCTTTTGCTGCAAAAATTCATAATTGTTTTTTGAAAACTGGCAAGTAAATAAGTGTTTCATTTTGCATTATGTAATGAAGAGTCCCAACAGCCGCAAATCAAAGAAAATTATGTCTTCTGACAGAACAGTGCTTCGTCAATGCTAAGTAAAAATAAAAATGGTTTGGAAACTTATATAAATGAAAAGATATCCTACTCAATCCATCTACAGGAGTACAGTCATAAGCGTTTACCCACACCATGCATCTGGTAACAGGCTTAGGTTTAAAAAGGGAATGTGAACTCTTTAAGACATAAGTATAGCAAACATATCACCCAAGCTCAAATATTTTACCAACCTTGGTTTTAGCCCCTCAACTCTCTGATCCTTTTTTATATAAAGATATTTGGTAACTAATTATTAACTTCATCTTAGTTCAAATTAGGAACCATACTGGGCTAAAAATATAATTTGATTTTTTTTCCCATTACTCATAGCTTTATTCTCCTTTCCACAAGGAATTAATATTACTGTTGCTGTTAAAACAGAAAAAGAACTGTTGCTGCTGCTGACTGGTTTTTTGTATCTGAGGCAAACAAAGATACAACTTGTTCCAAACTTGGGTTAGGAGAAATTTCTTAAAAGATTCTAGGGCTATTTGGGGTCTTAAGAAAGACAAAGGTAATCTGAAATAAATATTACAGTTTATGCATGACAGGGATTAGCCTGAAAACACATGTAGTGCTCACAAATCCATCTGCCAGGGCAGAAAAAAGTGGAGTGACACATGTGGCTGAAGTGTGCACCAATAAAAACTGGAGCCTGGCCAGCCAGAGCCATGCCCTGGCAGCCAGGCAGGCTCTATGCACCCAGATCACCGCTACTGTTGCCCTAGGAAGCCCCCAGGACCGCAGGTAAGGCTGTTGGGGCCTCACCTACTCCACCCAGGGCAACTTGCCACACACCAAAGAAAGCGTGCAGGCACATGCCCAGGGACAATTTGTTCCCAGGGAAATGCACATTTCCACTCATGAGGATGCGCCAACAGTGTCTCCCCCATATTAGGTTCAAGTATGAAGCCATGAAAAATAAATAAATAAATAAACCCTCCCAACCACAGTGAAATATCCTAAGTTATAAAAGTGGAGTATTTATTCTGATCTTGCTTTTTATAACAATAAAGCAACTTGCCTTGGACGCATTTCTAATTATCAGTCTGGTACCCTTGGAAATAGGCAAAAATTCAAGTTTTTCTTCTGTGAAGAAGCATTTTAGCTGCAAAAAGCTGTGCTTCTTACCAACCAACATGAAATTCAAGAATAAATGTTTGTGACTAACACGCAACGAAATCAAAACTGGTATTGTGCCTACTCAAGGAGTTTTATCAGAGAAGTATTAAACCATCTAACTGAAATGCAGTGTTTTGTAATATCTATGTTCAGCCAAAACTGGCAGCCTTCATGTATGGTGACAAACTTTTTTAAGACCCTCAGACTCCTTTCCCCTCCTTACTTTCTTAAGTTCTAAATCTGCAACATCTTGGATGCTTATCAGAAAAGTATGTTTTTTGGCTGATTGCTGTAGGCTCATATTCTTCAGCTTCAGCCTGTACTATCATCTTTCTTTAGACATCCTTTCCTCCTTTGTAGTATTGGTGCTACACTGAGAGCTCATGAAAAAGTATGTACCCAATTTCTAAACCAGGTCTAACTGTTACAAATGACAAGACATCCATGTTCATCAAAAGAATCACTAAGCCCCATTAACTCCCAAGATGACCTTGACTGTGACTTATGGTTTTGTGTTCAAAACATGCAAAGTTTGTGGTACCACTTGGTTTTGCTGTAAGCTTTTCATAGGTCTAGGGGTTTTAAATGTCTAATGGAGGTTCTGAGAGATGAGGCAAGTGGTAAAGACTCATTGAAAGCAGCTCTTCTCATTGAAAAAAAACAGAGGAAGGAATAAATGTTGTCAAGTCTCTAGATTTTATTACTAATTGAACAACTGTTGATGCTCTTTTCAAGCACCAGCTCCTGCAGTCAGGTGATTGAATCCCAGCTGTCACCAGAATAAGTCTGCCCTTTGGGGTAGAAGAGAAAAAGCTTGAAAACCTCAAATCCCAGAAGGAAATATAAAAGACTAATATTTATTATTTCAAAAACCTCATTGTTTTGGGAGACTTTTGGGAGGTCTGACTCATATTTTTTTTTAAATACTTGGCAATATTGAAGAAAAAGAGCCTTGCCTTTAAACCACATGCATTTTGTCTTAATGTGTCTGCTTTAGATTAGAGTGTCTACCTAAAGAATTTTCTTGTGTATTATTTCTTGCTTCTGATTTTAAAAAATAGTGCACGCAGCACAACACATGAGGATAGATCCAATTCCAACCCACAGGGCATCTAAATGAGCTATGGTGCCAGCATATCATGCTGCTCTATTCTTGCCAAGTCCCTGCAAAATGTTAGCAGACCTCTTTTTGCAACACTCTGTTATCTTAGCCTTAAGGTTACATCACAAAAGCTGTGGGCAAGGGAATAACCTATTCATCTTTCACCTTACCTGGTTTTCAGGGACTCAAACAGGATGGAATAAGATCTAGCCCTTGGTGTCACTAGGAAATCTAGATTTTTTTAAAACAGAAATGGTGTGGTTGGTGCAATGAGTCGACTATCAAAAGTTTCCACTGCTCCCTAAATCTTCAGTCTTAACAAACATTAAAAAAAGGCGAGACAGAGGCACTGCTAATTGTTGTTTTTCAAGAATCTTTTATCACTTGCCTCTTCACCTGTCCCTCTCTCCACTATCCATTTAGAAACTGCACTGCTTCTATAAAATGTTCAGAAACACAGTACTATAAAAAAAATTGAAAAAGACATTTATCTTGTTCTGAATACAAGCCCTTTCTTTCAGGGGTTCAAATATCTACTTACAGGAATCATCCAGTTGGCTAGATCACCATACTTGGAAACTTGCATTGCTCCAAGCATTGTCAAATCAATATGGCCTCTGGTGAAAGAATAAAGTCCGTAATTAGAATACACTATCAAATAGCCCACAAATCCACAAGCCTTTTTTCACATATAGATTTTTCACAATATATAGATCCAACATGTTTTAAACAGTGATGCAGAGCAGAGGCAGCGGAGGCTCTGCCTGTTCTACATGTACTTATTGTTTTCTTAAGACAAAGCATCAATACAGGTTTCTTTGTCTGCCTACTGAGCCTTGGAAACATTATTTTGGTCTGGCTTTGGTTAATTGCATGCAGGATAAATCAGCTCTGAACTCATATTCTTAAGTGCACTCCTTCACTTATTTGCATGCACTGATGATCTTTTCAGAGCCATTATGGTTTAGTGTTTGTTTGTACCAAACCTCTTCCCCGAAAAAACAAACAAAAACAGGTGCAGATGCTGAATTTCCATCAGGGAGGTAGAATGAGGACTACAAGCTAAGTAAAGAGTACAGAGTATGTGGGTCCATATTAGATCCTTGGAAAATGGCAAAAAAGTAGTTGCTAAAAGCATAGTTACAAATGTGTTATATACAGCTAGGTAACATTAGACGCAAACAGCATTAGGTCATCTATTAGTTACAGTAAATTGAATACTTCAATTTCCAGTACCCATACCTAATCCTTCTGTAAATTATTACTGAGCAAATCCATGATAGTTTTCCATACTGTTAACTGCTAATCATATCTCAAAGTAATACTAATGAGTTTAGTTAGTGACTCAGCTTATTCTGTTCAACAGTCTAACAGATTAATGCTTTGGTGGTTACATACCCTCTAATCATTGCAAATGATTCATCACTAGAGAAATAGGAGGCACCTGGAAGAACAGTCACTGTCTCTTTACCTGTAGGGGGGAAGAGGAAAATTAAGTTATTACATTTACAGAAGTATCACCGCATGATTTACCCAATAGGAAAGGGTCTAGACTACGTCAAACCCCTTCAGATTCTGGCTATATTTTATTAGCGCTATACTTTTTGGAATTCGGGGTGGGGGAGGGGGGGTTACACTGTAAAACTACCTGTGAGACAGAATTAGATTGACAGCTATACACAAAACCAAACAGGATGAATTGTTAGGTAGCATAAGAAGCAGCAGATGCCACTGTATAAACTGGAATAGGCAGTACTATGCAAATCACAGAAGGGTGCCACCTACAGATACTGTCCCTGAGGTTTGATGTTTATTAGCTTCTCTAGTTTATTATAAACCTCACTAGACTTTTGTAGACAAACTGAGGGATGATTTGCCTGACAGTAAAAGAAAAATGTCTGATAAAACAGAACAGATTAATAATAAAGATGATCTTGAGCGGCAAAATCATGCATGGAAAATTACTTTTTAATGGCTGAGGTAAGGATTTCTTAGTACAACATCTTTTATTGGACAAACTGCTTAGTTTAGAATAGTGTTAAAGAAGCTTTCAAATGCAAGACATTTTTCATCAGGTCTGAGCAGTAAAAGTCAGCATAGCATAGTAAGAAATAGTTGTAGGAGTGGGCAGGGATATGAGAGAAATTGCCAGAGGTAACAGAAAAACAATTAGTAGAGAAAAGAAGCTAATTAGTGAAAGAACAGGGCCTATCAAAAAGGCGAGAGGACCATTCTCACCTTCCATGTGTGGAAATAATTCAGAAATCAGGTAGGTAATAATGTGGTGTGAAACCATTATCAGTGTTAAGTCCTTAGTTTTTAGTGTTCAGCCAGTTCATGAATTTTTGTTCCCAAGTTCACCCTAAGAAATCCTTACCTCTTCAGCTACATCACTCTAACACTACCTTTTTAATGGGTGACAGAACTGGTCATCTCCGTTCTCTCCAAGATGCCTGAGCAACATTATCATAGGATCATACAAAATTAAGGTTGGAAGGGACCTCGGGAAGTCATCTTCGGTTAGAGCACACAAAGCCTTATACAGCACTCAAGATGGAAGGGGGGAAGGAATATTGAATATTAGATGGAAGGGGTGAAGGATCTAACTCTAGGCCTATCCCAAAACTGCCTTCCTCACTCCTAGCACAACCTCTATCCAGGCAGAACACTGCAGATATTTTTGCTTTGCTGAGGCAGTGCCTGGTGGCGTGTCTGAAACAAAAGGCTATTATTATGGGTAGAATGATGGAGCTGGATGAGAGAAGCTAAGTGGGAGATATCAGATAGGTCTACGGGAAAGGAAAAAACTGGGATTAAGTGTTGAAAAGCCTAGGGAAGCCATGGGGAAGAATATGTTGGGGTTTGCCAACAACTCAAGGGAACGAAGATTGAAATAGTTCAGAAAAAATAAATTGAAAGAGAAGACTGAGAAAGATGACAGCCAACGAGAAACATACCATGCTATAGATGGAAAGCGAAAGCCAGAGGAAAAGAAAGGAAGGATGGAAAGAGAAGGAAGACTTAAGGCAAAAGAGAGATGTTGTCCTGCTTCCATTATTTGAGTTTACTTCATTGTAACATTTGGCAAATAATATTAGATTTTGTGCAAACCAAATAGAAAAGTAAAGCTAAAAATCAGTGGTCCAAATTGGGCACTCGAAGTACAGCCTGAGCTGTCTTCCCTTGTCAGACATACACAGAAGCAGCGAGAGAGACACCACCCTGTAAACAGCAACATAGACAATAAAAAGACTTTATATGATGTAAGAATTTTGGAAAGTGAATAGTTTGTGGTTAGAAAAAAAAACAACACATAAAATCAAGGATTAATGTACATAAGGGTGTAGTAAGTTTATTTGACAGAGAAATATTTGGTATTTAAGAAATCAGAGGAATGGACCCTAACTCTCATGCCCATATTGCAAAATTTGGACAAAATCAATGTTAAAAAAAATTCTGGGCTTGATTCTGTGTAAGTCAACAAGTTTTCCCAATGACTTGAGCTGGAGTGAGTTTAAACCCTGTATTTTTGCCATTCAGAGTTTATAACTCCATATCGTTTAAATGAAATGTTCAAACACCTATATCTTAAATTTGAAAGTACTCTGGATGCTTTCTAGTTACTGGGACTTCGCTACTTTTGAACAATTTACCCAGAATAATTTAGGGCTAGATCCAACAAAGGAGTTAGGTGCCAAAAACAGGAATTAGGCAGAACTGAAGCACCTAAATCCAGAACGGTCATCCTAGGAGCTGTCTACATCCATGAGACACATCCCTCACTAATAATAATGGCCCCTAGGTACCTAGTGTTCTGCTTCTGCATGTGCCCAGCACTATCGCAGCCTGAGCAGTTCATCACACATTTCCTTTCTAAGCCTGATTAAGCAGAGGAACATCTAAGCCCCTTGAGCACCCTGATCCGGTT